ACACACACACAAACACACACACAAACACACAGACAGACACACACACAGACACACACAGACACACACAGGCACGCAAAGACACACACACACACAGACACACACACACACACAGACACACACAGACACACACAGACACACGCAGACACACCCAGACACACACAGACACACACAGACACACACACACAGACACACACAGACACACACAGACACACACAGACACACACACACAGACACACACGCGCACACAGACATGCGCCCGCGCGTGGTAGGTGCACGCGCGCGGCCGCCCGCACGCTCGCATGCCCACGCGCACGGGCACCGCAACTTACCCCGACGCACCCCAACCCACCCACCCAAGCCGCCGCAACCACTCCAATCACCTGTAACTGCGCTGTTCAGTTCATAAGTTCTGACGCCCCTATCGCCCCCCCCTACACGCTTGCCACTTCAAGGCGCACTCTGAGCGCAGCGTTGCTTGCTGCCCATCAAGCTCACCAACCCTACTCACCAACAGGCCCGACTGGTACGAGCAAGGGTGCAACGCGTGCCTGTAGCGGTCGTAGAAGGCTTCGGCGCTGGAAGGTCTGGAGCTATCTTCATCTCAGAGCAAAGGGGAAGCGTCACTTGGAGGTCTGGCGTGGGTCGTTTTAAACCAACCCGTGTACCTCATAAATGACAGCCCCGCTTCCGTATCCAGGCCTTGCCTTGGGTTTCCTGCCGAGTTGCTGCAATGAAAGCGCACTGAGACGTTCAACTGGACACCCTAAACTCGCACATTTCTTCCCAAACATGAGGATACGATTGTCAGCTTGCTTCCTGAGCTTCGTCGAGCACCGCGCGCTCGCATCTCAAAATCTCATCCTGGCAAAGCGCGGCGAACAAAGACCTACGGCCGATGGCAGCCACATGCCTTTGCCAGGATACTACAAAGCTCACTATAAGTCGGCCGGACGAAAAGGAATTGCGTTCGCGCGAAATCCGAAACTTTGCAACTTTATGTTTTCATTCTGTCATGTGCTTCGCAGGGCTAGCTCGTGTCTGCTGAATCAGAATCACAAAATGCTGCGTGGCTGATAGGGGCCAATGACCAAACACTGCAGGCCAGTTCTGGATGTTGGCACGTCAAACAAGCAAGTCTGGACGGCAGAGCCGAGGGGCGGAAGGTTCAAAAGAAGAGTGAAACAGCAGCTTCAAGCTTCTTCTGTTTTCTCTCCCTCTCTCTCTCTCTCTCTCTCTCTCTCTCTCTTCTCTCCTCTCTCTCTCTCCTCTCTCTCTCTCTCTCTCTCTCTCTCTCTCTCTCTCTCTCTCTCTCTCTCTCTCTCTCTCTCTCTCTCTCTCTCTCTCTCTCTCTCTGTCTCTGTCTGGCTTTCGTTGCAAAAAGTGCTGCGAGCGTTTCGTGAAAGAGCGCGCGTCCGCGCAATGTCCCGCGGAAGCGCCTTGCCTGCCACAAAACCTGCTAGCCTCCCCAGCCGCGAGCGAGGTAGTTCACGCATGTGGCACGATCCTTGGGCTCATGTGTTCTTAGAGAGAGCTAGCTCGTTTAGTTCCAGCACTACGCAAGTTCCTGTTTGACCGTTGCACGTGTCTCCCAGCTCAGACCGCCCCTAGCTTTGAGTCCGTCACACCCAGACCAGCTCATTCCAGCCACCTTGTTGGCCGGCCTGCAGGCGACCACTTTGCACAGAAGCCCAGACTGCTCGACCCAGCCCCGGCATCATTTGCCAGGCAAGCCTTGTTCTCAATGATTTGGGGGTTGATCAATATTCCGTTCGGCCCCCGTATGACCATGGGTAACTTTTTCAATTTAGTGGGAAATATCAAGCCTTTCTAGTGGTATCCCCCAATTATCATCCCATGTATCACGGACCTTTTCATCAACCATTTCTTGTTCTTTTGAGCCGGACTTCTTTACGCTTTGTGGCCAAGACTTGGAGCGCAGCAAACCTCCATGCCTCACCTCACGTGACATGAAACAAAAGGGACAGCACTTCCTCTCCCAACCTCGGGAGCTCACACTTTGAGGCGCAGATGCTCATTTGCCCTTCAACCTCTCAAGTTTCACTGGGTTTTGAGGCAACCAACCAGGCGTGAACTCTCAAGTTTAGCGCCTCTCGTCGGCGTTTCCGCGCTCGCGCCGCCCTGCCTACAGCGCTATCCTTTGTTACTTCAATCGGTGGCCGCTTCATTGAGACGGAGGAGGATAGCCAGGGGCCCACCATGACGGATCGCAAGTGTGGAAAACGCCGCTTGTGGCCACGCAAAGCACTAGGGCGCTCACAGGTTCTGCTCTCGTTTGAAGCCCCTCTCCTGCTTCACGCCAACTGCCTTGGCTGCCTGTGTCATTGTTTTTCTTCTGGGCGTCGTCCATGGACAGCTGGAGGGCCAACGCGAACTCCACAACTTCTTCCTTGCTGGCGTCTGTCCAAGGCTCATGCTCAAGCGCAGCCAGGACATTGGCGGCGATAAGCCCAGAAATGGGTTGCGTGGTCTTGGCAGACCTGACACTCTTGGCGTGCGTGGCACAAAAGTTGCCCTCTTTGCGCTGCCTGGTGCAAGACGCCCCACTCTTCGTTCGCGCTAAGCACGTGTCTGCGCCCACACCAGCATTGAGCCTTTTGCTGCCATGCCTGGCAAGTTTAAGTTTGGCAAAGACTGACAGAGGCTTCCGCACTTGCTGGCACTTGGCCGCGGGCAACAGGAGGCCTGAGCATCCTCTTGGTTGCCTCAGACAGCCTTGCCTTGCCCTTGACACGCTTTTTGGCTCTTGTGGGTAGCAATGGGTAGCAGTCAAGATAGGCAGGTGACAAACACGCTGACAAAATTCCGGCGCAGGTACTGGTGTCGGTAGGGGTCGTAGCTGCAGCTTCAGCCTTGCTACCACCTCTCCAACACCAGCAACCGTGAAGGGAATGAGGATCTTGTCCTTGGAGCACTGCGCATGGTCTTTGAAAATAATGCAATCTTTTGGAGGGTTCTCCAGGAACTCCATCAAAGTGCCCACGCACTGCTCGCCCCGGCTCTGATGCTTGAGCTGGTCTTTGCTAGGCATTTCTTCTACACTGATGCCGGCACTGCGCATGGCTAGAAGAGCTGCCTCAGGTGTTGCATTCACAGCGAAAGCTTTCGCGTGCTCGCGCTTGATCCTCTTCACGTTCCTCGGGCCACCACATTCCCGCAGCCTCGGGGGTTCGCCGGGCACTTGGTCTGGCATGACCTCCCTGCAAACCTCTCCCCAAGGCTTGCGCCTGCCCTGCAGCGCGGGCGCGGGCTGAGGCGCGACTGCCAGGGCATTCGCAGGCACCAGCTCCAAGTTCAGAGGCTGTGGCTTGGGCTGCCGCCCCTCCGCCGACACATCTTATGCGTGCCTCATCTGCAAGCGTGTTCCAGGCGCGCCACGCCTATAAAGCATCACCCCTCCTGCACCCGTCAACAACAAAGCCAGAAAGCGAAGCAGCTGGCTCATGTTGCTGGCCGTGACAACTGGGTGCGGGACTGCTAAGAAATTGACTGAGGCTCAAATTCTACCAGTGAGATGTAGACATGCTGGTAACCTGTAGAGGCAACGAAGCAAGCCTCGAAAGCTTATACCTGTGAACATTTGGAAGAATGCGACCGCAAGTGCAACCTCGGGATTTCGCACCTAATGAGGCAAAGCTGTGACCAGCAGGTGCAATCTTTGGAGCTTCACCAATTGCCAAGACAATGAGATTGTGCAAGGCTAGTGGGTGTGAACTGAAAAGGTTTCACTCATAGCCTTTGAAAGTCACACTCTGTCATAGACTGATAGACCTGGCTAAAACTAAAACGCGAAATCGACTCGAGCTGCTCTCGCTTCTCCTTTTTCCGCGGGAAGCTCTTCTCCGAACTCGCAGCTCCGAAGCTCAGCTTAGCACGACTTACTTTGCATCTGTCTCGCGCTAAGTGAGTGGATCCATTGCTGATCCCCATATGGTTAGGACTTGCGCTCGTGCATCGCTGGGCCCTGAAGCCCGTTAAACAAATCCGCAAATCTCTCCTTTGGCAGCCTGTTGCCGGATTCGGACTTCAGCCTACACGCCTAAGGGCAAAGCTCCCAAGATGGTTCCAAAAGCACAACAAGGAGGGGAGACAATTGAAGCGGTGCCTGATTTTGACATTCATTACATATATTGCATTACACTGCAATGCATTCTTCATTGCATCGCATTGCGGTGCGTTGCATTGTATTGAATTGCATTGCGTTTCATTGCATCGCATTGCAAGATATCTATCAACACAGTCGGATAGCAGCAATCCAGATATCAAGGCAAACCCCAAATGTTGTGTTTGAACACTCCCAAGATATCCAGGGAAGCATAACATGTTGTGCCCAAACAGCGCGAGCATGCCAACTACCCTTAAACCCCAAAGCCCATACTATGGCATATATACCCCCAAAACCTAAATAGACTATTTTAGAAATGAACAAGAAAACAAACAAAGCAGGATTTTTAGGTTGGGGGTATGCTCAGAAGAGCTGTTGAAAAAACTGACCTCTTTATTGGGCCTATAATAAGCAATTGACGCGAACTGACAGCAACCACCACGCATGGCAAAGGATAGCAGCATCTGACACTGCTTTGCAATGATGCGCCATGTGTCGTAAGTGCCTTCCTCTTGTGGACGCTTCAAGATATGTGACATGTGAGCAACATACTGGCTGTGAGATACTGTGCGAATGGACGCCCAGCCTATCCTGTCTGTCCTCTGAGCCTCTGTTCAAGTCGATGACAAAAGTAGCCACCTCTACACCCTGATTGATTCTACAAGAGCCATTGCAAACTTTCGTACGGAGGATCTTGTCCGTTCGTCACAGTCTGGCAACAGCCGGCCGAAGCACATGCTGCTCGAGAGGCGGCAAAGTCGGACTGCTTTGGTGGCCCGAACGGTGAAACCTGCGGAACCTCACCCCCTCTCTCTGACAAAAACAGGTGTTTTTCGTGACTGTGAGACGGAAGCGTCATGCGATCTGGGACCAACACCACGAATCTCAGGGAGAGAAAGTCCCAGTCCCAGGCATATCATGGATCAATTCCGCCGGCTCGCCGAGTTGGCCACCTCAGAGACATTTCGAAGACTCTCCGGTATGGATCTGAACTCATGCCTGGGTGAGCTGTCCCATGAATACATCAAGGTACATGCAAGCCAGGCGTGAGAAAAAAAAAAAAAAAAAAAAAAACACTATCCGTCCGATGGAATGCACTTTGTGCTTCAAAGCTTGGGTCGGTCATCCTAGGCAAGTCTGGAGCATGGCAGCCGACCGCCATGACAACTAGCAGCGCAAGGCAGCGACTGTTAACGGTGGACATGGACTCTGCTTCAAACTACACGATCTCGAGCACTGCCCAAGTATGTCCGCTATCCCTTGCTTTGTGGGGCTGGAGGCTATCCTTTCCAAGGCCGCGTCCTTTGCGCCACATCGGTAGCACACCTTGTAGCCCCACACCAGGCTGCTGCAATGAGGGCCTCTGAAAGCCGGACGCGCGATTCAACCACGCGCTCACGGCCAAAATGGCCCTGCGTTCTTCCCCAAAGGAAAATGAGTGCGCACATGCTGCCCGAAGCTCACATGGGCTCTGGGTTAGATTCATTGCTGCGGTGTGGTACTGGGGCCGCGGCACACCTGTTGAGACTCGAACTCCGCCTCAGGCCGCCAATCTGCACGATCCACACAAGGTGCACGCAGCCGGATGCACTGCTACGCTTGAGACTCCTTCATCAGTTGAGTCAAAACCAAAAGCAAGTTACAGAAATCGAGCCATGAAAATCTAGAATGTGAAGGATCACAAGGAATACTTGCAAATCTTTCCGTTTGGAACCTCTTCATGGCTCAGTTGACTTCCAGGTATGATGTAAACCATGCAACAAAAACCAACAGCACAAGCCACACATCCTTCGACGGGCCCCGGTGAGCACAAGTCACCCACGAAGTGCACCCCAAGTGGCTTGCCGGAATTTCTAGCCGAGCCGAGAACTATCTAGTCAAGTCTCATGTACCCCTCAGTTGGTGGTTGGGATGGATGATTTGGGGATTTGACCCCCTGGCTCTTGCAAAGGTAAACTCAGTTGCCCAAAGGACACAGAAATAAAAGGTTAACCTTTTGGGGCCATGACTAAAACTAGACCAAAAAGGAGAAACCAAAAGGTCAAAAGGTCGGCTTTGGGCAACTGAGTAAATGGCAAACCACCCCACCTCCAAACAAAACCAAACCGAGGGGTCCGATCCACTTTTGGCACACACCGTGCAGAACTCTTGCGGCTGGTGCTTCCCTTTGTGCCAATTTAATTGGCGGCCCCCTGTCGACGTGACCACGACGTTATGGCAATAAAAGGGGATTCCCTCGGCTCACAGAAAGTGACGACGAAACCCAACAAGCCTCCCGCAATGCGACGCGGCTGGCACATGCCCAAAGTGGCAAAGGCGCAAAAAATCTTGCTGAGCTCCCTACAGGCAACTCAATACTGTCTTGAAACCGGGAAACTTTGGTTTCCCTTTGAACTCACCCCCCAGAAACGGGCCCCTACAAAAAGACCAGCACGTAACCGGGGAAATTCATGGACTGTGATCCGGAAGTACCAGCTTCTGCAAAGTCCCAGCTCAGCTGCCCACAGCATGCATGACCTGGCACGTCAGCTGTTTTTGCGAAGTGGGAGAGTTCAAGCCGAATTTGGTCGTGCTCCGAAATTGTGAGGGAGACCACCGCAAAGATGGGCTGGATTCGGTGTCCTTCTGGTTTGCTTTGAAGCAACACAGCACGTGTGTTCTTCAATAGCGAAATCCCTTGTTGCTCTAGATACTACAAGATTGGGTAGCTCGCTGTTGGTGCGATGTTGTGGCGCCCGCATTGACCGTATTTTTTGTGTGGTGCTCACTTACTCAAATGGCTCCGTATGAGCCATGGTCAAAAGTACCTGTTCCCCCAAACACCTGGGAAGCGGCTGATTTGGGAACCTAGCCGTCAGCCGGCGGGTGTCCTAAACATTCCTGAACACTTCGTTGCGATATGTGCAAGCCTGTGGTTTTACCCGATGCCCATGTTTGGACAAACCAATGTGAGAGACCTCGTTGGACCCCATCATCTTTCGTTGGCCTGCAGATCTTGTCCTCGAAACGGATGAGAACATAATCAATACATGTATATATATATATATGTACATATATAATTAGGGAAAGAGAGAGACAGAGAGCACGAGAGAGAGACAGAGACAAAGAACGGAGACAACGACAAATAGGGGATAGATAGAGATAGACAAAGCAATCCTTTTGGGCATTGGCAACTGCTCCATACCAGTGAACGCTGCAGGGATGGTGAAAGACCAAGCATCGTTGGAGTGATGGGCCAGGAGGAAGCCCTCAATTCAGGACCACACTGTCGAGTTATGCTAACTTCGGATTCATCCGGAGGACCCTACTAGTTCTAGGAACCCCCCAAAATAGATCATGTCCTTTCTAACAGGGGAACCACCCCTGATTAATACTGTCTTCCGGATAAATCTGAAATTGGCATTTCTGGATAGGTCGCGTGTACAACTTCCGCCCTCCCTGCCTTTGGCTGCGACATCTTCTTTGCCTGAGTCGGGTAAGCAAAGTGGGTCTGCATTGCATCGGTAATCTTTTGTTTTGCGGTGCTCTCTGTCAGAACAAAACATAGGCGACTGCGGTACATCTGCTTATTCATAGGGGGGTGTGGGAACACCCCCCAGATTCACAAGCAGGGGTTGATTAGTCCGGGGTCAACATTATCTTAGGAAAGCTGCCTGACTGCAACCCCCCCCCCCACCTCTCGCAGACTCCTTGGGCTCCAGCGGAGGGGTTCAGCAGGAGAGGCCCATGGTTCGCCGACTGAGCGCAGAAAAATGCCAGGAGGGCAGTCAGCGCTTCAGTCAGCGGGCGTGTCGTTGTTTTTCTCTTCTTCTCCCCCTATTTTTCCGCCACTTGTGGGGGTAAATACAAAAAGTAGGCGTGTCACCATGGGCGTGCCGCTGTTTGTTTTTGTTTTGCGACTTGTAGGGGTACTCTCCCTCCCACCAACATAGCACCTGTGAGAGGGTGGAAGATCAATTTCCTCTTCAAGAGACCCTCTGTCAGGTGCCATGTTAGCGGCAGGGAGGGCACGCCCACATGGGGCCGCATGTGTCGGCGACAGGGACACAAAAGGGAATCACTTCTCAGCGCATTTTGTGCGTCAGCTCACTTTCAGGCTGCACTCCGGATCCGATGATGCGCAAACCATTCCCTTGGTTTCACTATGGACCGTAGTCTGAACCATCTGTCATTTTCAGCTCAATGTGGGTTTGTCTCTACACCCCAAACCCTGTGGCATCCCATTGGTTCCCCTTAGAACTCCGCTACCCTGGTACCAAGAAAAAATAGCCATATTGAATGTGGACATTTTTCTGCCCAGTAACTTCTGCATCCATTAGGGGTGAATTATGAGCACTGACTGGCCTGAAATGTCCGACCCTTGAGAAGGCAGTCTCGATCGAGACTGGCACAGTTTACATTCTGACACCCCCTTTCGCTCGGTGGGCTTGCGAGAAAAAAGAGAGCTCAATCATCAATCTATGCCAAACTCACCAAAATGACCGAAAGGACCCGGTAAGCACCAAAGTCGTGCTTCATCATGTGCTTCCATGTATGTTGAGCTGTCCAATTCAGAGGTGAGAGTCAATCCAGGCTACAGCCCTTTGGCGGGGGACAACTGCTAGCGGCATCTGAGAAATGTTGCCTTCGTTGGATCAGGGATCACTGGATTCCTGCACAAGTTTCAATCTACTGGTGGATACTGGTGGATACTGGTGGATACTGGTGGGTTCTGCTGAAACTGCCACATTTGAAGGTCAACAGGGAAATAGAGGAACCCCGGTTTCTTCCAACCCTACGCTTCGCCGTCTTCGCCTGCTCTGCGTCTGAAGCAGCTCCCTTGAACCGCTCCCACAGTGTTTCTCGGCCTGGCTCTAAGGCACTTGGCTGGGGATTATTGGGTGAACAGCTTGAAAAAACCAAAAGAATCTTCATTCCCTTGGTTCAGCGAATGAAAAAATCCTTGCCTTCAGGTGCCCAAGTACGATCAATCTGCTCGAGAGATGCGAAGAATAGTCACCAGCAAAAGAGCCGCCCCAGGTGTTGTGGACACACATTCCATGCAGATTTCCGTCATGTCCTAAAATCTATGAGCACGACTCTGTGGCGATGCTCACGCCATTTGAGGACCCTTCTTGTTGTTTTGCATCGTGACGCTGGAAAGCGAAATCTCTCTCCCTCTCTCTCTCTCTCAACTGCGCACATGCAACCTGGGACTCGATTCTCGCATAGCCAATATGGCTATGCCCTTTACTGGATCCACGCCGGGGCAGCTCTAATGCGCGCAATCGAAAGCCCAAAGTTGCTACGTCCTGTTACTCGACTGCATCCGCGACGAATTTAACTCTCGAATGTGAAAAAGAAATAACATCTCTGTCTCTCACACACACACAAGCATCCACATGCCTAACCAGTGCCTGTCTCACAACGAGAAGACCATATGCAGCAGCATGCCCAGAACGATTACGCCCCAGCACCTGTGTGTCCATGACAAGTTTCGAAAAGTGCTTTGGTTCAGCTGGCTTCGCAGGTGTTGCAATGGTCATCACAGTGTCAGCCTTAGCCGTTCTTGGCAATACTTGGCCACGGGCGGCTCTAGCGCTGCTTCTCATCCGCGCCGGTACTAGTAGGTAGTAGTATACCTTTCCTTTCCTTTCGGAAAGGAAGGGTGACTGCTCGGTATAGCAGTCACCCTTCCTTTGGTTCTCACCTTGCCTCTCCGCCCCCGGCGCCTTGAAGGGGCGCCCGTGTCACCGCAAGGGCTTTGCCTTGAGGCCGAAGCTGCAAAAACGTCCCGTGGAAGGCCTGGCCATGCCCAACACTCAGTGACTTCGGCTCGCAAGGCTGGAAAGGTTGACATCAGTGGTATGACCCTGATCAAACCAGGTCGTGGAACCACCTAGGCCCAAAACTCGGCTGCTCGCAAGGCTAGAAAGGTTGACATAAGCCTTTCCTATTGCCCCCTCTCACACCAGTGGAACCACCTACTTGGGCCCATGGAGGATTTTGCGGGCAACCTACAGTGTACCTACAGAGCAAGGAAGAGAGGCCACTCAACACGGACGGAGTAAAAAGGCCCTGTGTGCCCCACAATAGCATACCCTTCTTCTCTCAATGCGGGTGCTGCGTGTATCTGAAACTTTGGTGGGCACCAAAAGATACCAAAAGCACATCCTGGCTCGCACATGCACTCCTGTTCTATTGTTTTCCCACTGAGGAAGCGTATGCAAAAACAAACACGATATGTTTGCCCAAACAAAGCGTCAGCTCGCTAGAGCCTCTTGTCTGGATCTAGACCTTTGCAATAAACTAATTCGTCCTGTTCAGTTCCTGCAGCACTCAATCACTGCGCGCTCCTTGTAGAACTCGTGCGCGAATTCTGGCTGTGTGAAGTTGAGGATACCAAATCCTCACGAGTGCGAGATCCCTTCGCGGAGACCCCGGTCATTGCTGTTGCTGAACCGTACAATCCAACGTCACAACTCCCAGTGCGAAGACTTGCAACCGGCAAATTCCTGCGGACGCTAATTCAACGTGGGGTTCAAGAAGGAACATGGCACATGAATCGGCGTGGCATTTCCACCTGTCACATCGACCTGGGACCACGAGCATGACCAAGCACAGCTCGGACAATGTCAATGCCATGCTCACGGCGCGTTGCTGCTTTCTATGCGGCGCCCCCCACTGCCCCAACACTGTGCGACCCCACCATCGTTGTTGCCCGCAGCTGAAGCGGGCAAGTACAGGAAGTCCTCAGCAAGTCTGTTGGACTTATAGAGATCACATATCCTGGCGTAGCCTGACGGGGGGACCCGACCAAAGATCCAAGCAAAGTGCAAAGAGGTTAACTAGGTCCTGCAGTAGAGAGGTTAGAGTAAGGCTACCAGTTTTCTGTAGTCCATTTTAGTAGGGGAACCCTCCCCCAAAAAAGGGCAAAAGGGCGCGAGCCCTGAGCCTGACCTAGAAAAACCCAAGGTGAGGCTCTCATTCACTGCCTTGCCGAGCCGTCTGGAGAGGGCGCTTGGGGTCAAACATGCAAACAGGTTGGGCCAGGATGTTCCACAGCTCCAAGTAAGTCGCGCGTTGGACTATCTTAAGTTGTCGACACGCAAGGTGCAGTAGTCTGGGCTACCGGACCACTTTGTGGTGGAAGCCACGGCTATTCACCTGTAATGTGCCCAAACTCCGCACAGCCAAGCCTGCCAAATCTTGCCCTGGCCAAAAACTCAGTTGCGTCCCTGGCAGGTTTTGGATGAACTGGGCCAATTGGACTGACTGAAATCAACGACAAACCTGAACCAACTTGTGGTTGGGAAGACGGCCAGTTGACTCTTCAAAGTCCCAAACAAGACTTTTGTGAAGGGGCGAGGCTACATCCAACGAACATAAAGCCAATCGCTCCGCACCAGGGAAACCCAGCAGAACAATGATGCATCAACAGCGGCATCTTCGTTTTTGCATCCTTCACCAACAAACGGGTTGCGATTTCATCGCAGTTGCCGATGCGACGCTGCTTTCACGACTACCTGCCAAGGGTTCCAATTGCGCTTGCAACCCGTGAAAATGCAGCAATCAAGGGCGCTGTATCAGTTGCAAACTCAACGTGGAACCTGATGGCCTTTGCGTGCTTTGTTGCATTCCAGTTCAAGCCAGCAAGAGGCCCCCGTACAAACGCCCATGTCAATGTCGCATGCGTTGCGGCAGCAAAACATCCGGCAGCCTTTCGGCGGCAAGGTTAAGCCAGGCAGCCACACTTGACATGCCTTGGAGGCTTGAAAATCACAACTGCAAGTCGCACCACTGCCCTGGCAATGTTTATCGCGGCCCCCAGCGGCATTTGTTCTGGTGAGTAACCGCATTTCTACTGGTAATTGGTGAGTGTGCCTCTTGTCATCCCCCTTACTACTGGGGATAAGAGCAAATGGCTGTGGGTCAAAAATGCGTACACAAAATGGAACCCTGATAAATGGAACCAAAGACTAAAACCCGCGGTCCAATTCCTGGTGGGTTTATTTTCACCCATAGCCAAATATTACCGGTTGCTCATTGAAAGGGTATCAGATTCCTGCCTCGTCCAGGAGCTCCCACTGCTGCACCGTAGCAGGCACGTTGTCGAGAATGATGGACACCACCTCAGAGAGATCCAAAAGCAACGCTACTACCCTCTTTCCAACAATGATAATGTCCACTTCGGATTCTAGTATTCAGAAAACCCCAAAATGCCAAAATTTAGATCATTTCCTTTGCTGGAAGGAACCCACCCCTGATTACGGCACTCCAGACTAAACGAAGTCAACATTACAGTGGATGGACAAAAGCCCGCAGTGGGTGCTTAGTCCCTGTGTTCATAGGGCTCCCACAGTTGGCCCATCTTCAAACGGCAACCCTTGTGCTACGATCAGAACACCAGACCCCTGTCTCTTTGGGGATGTCCCAACCCAATGGGCCTCCATCTCCACGTGTTTTGAGGTGTCCGTGGGGAAGAATTCAACAGACTTCTGGCCACAAGCGACAAAAAAGCGCGTCGGCTGTCTGTCTCGGGTTCTTTTCGCCTGTGCGTTTCGGGTATCACGCTCCACAAATGGCAGGAGCCAATCCAAGTCAAGCGCAAACGCTGCGGGACGAAGGCTCAGCCAGCCCGCCAATTGGCTGAGCAACTGAGCATGAGCAGCGCAAACTTACATCGTCAAGTCGCATATGGTTTACAAAAAAGACCTGGTACCTGCGATAAGTTGCAGGGGACCCCTAGGGAAATTCTGCTCTCGTTTTGGCTCACTGCTCACTTGGCGTCCCTCGGAAGCAAAACAAGCACGAAATGTGTATGTGTGCTGGTTCTTGGATGCTACCCTTTTCAAGATGAACAGAATTTGAGACGAACAACAAGAACAATCAAATCTTAGCTGAACAAGAGCAACCCGCGCGTGTATCGATCGGGGGCGTGCCCCCGATGTGTTACAAAAGCGTAGATCAAATTGATGACTCTGCACTTTCAAATACACATCCATTCCAGTCTTTCTTCAAAAGCGAGAAAACACATGCATCACAACCCTTTTGGAATTCCACAGCAAATTGAAACTCGTAGACAACAACTTTGTAGCATGATACAAACATCGCATTTCACCCCCGCGGTCTAAACAGTTGACGATGGTGCAAAGGCCTGCTGAGCAAAGGCCGAGATGAGAAGTATTGAGCTTGCCGCGAGCTCGTGCGATTGGCGCACACCGGCTAAGCGCTGTTGGCGCCCGGCCATGCGGCACACCAGCCACTTGGATTGGATGTCAAGGGACCTCTGTGGCAGCGTGCCTTTGCTGTCATGACAGGTTTGCTTTGATGGTCAATAAGGGGCTAGACACGCTGCAACTGGCATTCAGCACAAGGCTTCTGCAAACCGCACAGAATCGATGTGTTTGCTGGACATTCGGACATTCATTTAGAATGTCGAACCCACTTGGAACACGCTTCGGCTCTCAAATTAATCTGAAAAGGTTCTATGTCCATGTGGAGCTTACCACACTTTGAACATCCGATTCCATACACTTAAGAATCTCGATGCCACGCGAGCTGAGCGAGCTGCATTCTGACCTGTGTGTTGAATCATTGCAATTTCTTCAGCCTTTCTTCTCAAACTCAAACGCTGGAGCTTCTTCCTTTTGATGTTCCCAAGGTTTTCAGGATCATTTTGGTTTGTCTGATGCGTATATTTGTTTTTTGCCGACTCTGCTCCTTTACAAGTTCCCACTCTGAGCAAGGGGCATTTCTTGGAATTCCGGTTCGGCGTTGCCGCAGGTGTCTCAATCACTCTAAAATTGTGTCTTTGAAGTGCGTTCTTCACTTTCCGCTCTAAAGCTCTGCCCTTTCATCTTTCTATTCAGCAACAATGAGCCTTCTAAACAGGAAACCCCTCCAATTCTGGCCGAGCTGTTCTTTTCCCTATTCAGCAATGGTCATAAAGAATTTGCTCCGTAGGACTGGGCCTTTGCTGCTGTTCCTATTCAAAGTCAAGACATTTTGATGTGCTTCCAGTTCTGGCCCTTTGGAGCGCTTTCTTTTCATGCGGTGATTGCTCAAACTCTGGCTCGGGTTTGCGTGTCCCTTTCATCATTTCATACACAATGATCATTCAAAGCGTTTTCTTTTGAATGCGTCGGAAGCTTTTGGCTTGAACCTGCCATTTAAACATGATCACGTTTTCTTGGAATTCTGGCACGCGAGCGATTTCGATTGAGTGTCCTGGTAAAACCACGAACTTTTGAGTGCTTGTTCTACACGTTCTGGCTCGCAAATCGTCAAGTCATGTGCAAAGGTCTCACACAGATTGGATATGGATGACACGGGAGCGGTTATTTTGCCTTGTCACCATACAAACACGTTCTTCAAATGAACAATGCGTCATGTCTTTTCCCAATTCCGGCAGGGGAGCTTCTCCTGGTGAACTTCCGGTGCGATCATTCTGAAGAGTCTTCTTCGATTTCTGGCGCGCGAGCTTCTCTTTGGAATAATTCTGAGACGCTTGGATGAATGTCTCAGGAGACCCAGAGCTTTGTGTTTTCATGCTCCTGCGGCGGCAATTCTCTTTCAGCCAGTGCTTCAACGTGTGGCTTGAGACCGCGGTCTTTGGATGTTTCTTTTCAGTGACGATGTTCAACGCTCATTCTCGAAACGTCGGCTCAGACCCTTTGAAGCAGGCTCAGAGGTCTGCACTGAGAGCGTAATTTTAGAACCTGTGATCGCAAGATGGCAATGCGCGATTCGTCCGCTGTTCGTCACTTGTTTTCCAACAAGGCTGCAGGGGTTCGAATCCGCGCTTAAAACCCTGGCACGAACAAACAGCACAAGCAGACTCCATGGTAGTTTCTGTAGTTTCTGAGTGTGGGGCGTGCTTTGGAGGTTCTGAGTGCTTTTGGGAAACGTGGGAGGTTCTGACAGTATGTAGCGCGTCCATGGCCCAGCCGTTGGAGTAGCACAGTTTCCTATTGCCTGGACGGATCGTGACAACAAACACAACTTGTAACTTATAACTTGCATCGAGGGCACCATCTGAGATCGGACCAGCCGCGAAAGTAGGCATCCGGAAAAAAACCGTTGAAATACAACCTCCAGGCCTCACACAGCTCGCCAACCTTTCGGCGCAAGCCGCAGGTTGCTGTACCTAAGCAAAAACTGTACCTGCATCTGAAGTAAGGAGAAGGTTTGTTGAAGCACATCTGCGTCGCAAGTGCTTCAGATGTGAACTTTAAGTCTGGTTCCCTTATTCCTCTTCGATTCTTTCAGTGCGCATTCAGTCAGAGATTGGCCTCAATCGATTGAAATGAAAAGTGTAGCGCAGCCCAACCTCCCAGCACAGGCGAACTGTAAGCTTAGCATGCCGCGCCGTGTCTGGGCGAAGGGTGGGGATGCAATGATACCGTCAGCTCTGCCGAGCGGATCGGCTAAACCGTGCAGCAAGCAGTACACGCCACAGGTCTATGCATCACACCTTTGGTGCACGTCAGTAGTACAATAAGTGTATGGCCGCCGACATTTTCTTAAAGAGAGTTCCCATCAAGAAAACGAAGGGTCGTTGCCTGTTGATTCTTTGCAAGGGACTCTTTCCACGCAAACCGACACTGAGATCCTAACGGCACTCAGACAAAGCAGGTGGCACGCGAAGATCAAGCTGAGTTCTGACTCCGGACCTAGGACGAGGCAGGAAGTGTAACCGCGCCTCACATGCACGGCCGGTGCCGAAAAAACCCTGCGGCCAAGCCTTTGGCCGGCCAAAAAAGGAGAAGATTGCAGAAATAGAAATGGCTCACTCTGTACCTGGATACGGAGCTAGAGTCGCTGGATACCAACGCTTCGCCTTTTTTCGCACACGGAAGCCAGTCACAGCTTCTGGTCCTGGCAATATTCGAGCTCAGGATGAGAATGACTGCTCAGAGCACGGTTTGTTGTTGTTCCGGAGAAGACAATGTTGTGGGGAACATGAAGCTGGCGCGAGGGGAATCGAGATCTGAGCTTTGTTGGGAACATGTGGCCTATCATCGTGGATTCTCATGTTTTGTGCCGTGGGCGCTCATGACAACGATGTGTGTTCGGCAAAGATATAATCCTGTTGGGCCTGCTTTGATTCTCATTGAGAAAGTCTCATACACCGGACCGACAGTGTAGTGCGCCAAGCGAACGAGCGGAAAGGTGCAATGTTCGCGCAAATGACTGCGACACACTTCCTCTCACTGACATAGCACCTGTGAGTTCAAGGGGGCTTCTGTCAGGTGCCATGGCAACGTGGGAAGGCATTTTCTGTTTGAAATGGGGAGCCCCAGTCCCATAGTTGCGCAGTGAATGAAGTCAAATCCCAAAGCCGGGAAAAGACCACGCCTGGACTTGCTCATGAACTGGTCTTGCAACTATGACAGCGAAATAAAGGCCCCTCCAAATAGCACAGAGTGATTTTACTTAGCTTTGTCAGCATCCAAAACTGGCCCTACTTTCGACGAACTGCCAGCAGCTGCAACCACCCCGCTCCATCAAATCTAGAGCTTCTCGAAGAGGTAGCGCCTTGCACCTCAAAGACTTCAGCAACCAAAACGAGACAATGTGGAAACGTGCCAGTTTTCAAGAAGGCACTGACTGAGTATTGCCACACCTCTGCAGACTTCGCTTGGCGCTCCACAAATCGCAGCGGAGAAAAAAAGGGTTAACAGAAGGCTCTCCCCACTTGTGCGCACACTTGGGGCGCAGCTGAAATACTGGGTAGGAAACGAATGAAAACAACCGTTTTCTTATAGGGCTCAGGCGCAACATCAACAATTAGAGCCAACAGTGCCCTGTGCTCTAGCGTCATGCAAAGCGTTTGAGTGAGTATCTGCCAGGCACTGGCTAAAGTCTCTTTTCTAAAAGAGACCTTCGCAAAGCTTGGTTGGCCTGTTTATGCTGCCTGAACTGGGGCAGCCAGTCCAACCCAAGTTTGTCTTGTCCAGCTTTGGGTTGCCCACGCCCCTTATCCGCCTTTCCAATTCGAAGCCAGCCGGCGGCCAGTCCAATCAATCCACATCGCCAGCCCAGTCCAGTGCTTGGGCCGTCGGCAGGGCCCAACATGTTGCAGAAGTTGGTTCCACAACCTTTGGTTGCGGTCATTCTTGTTGTCACT